CGCCTACGTTAATTACTAGAATTACTTTTAATGCCTGATCTTTTGCCCTATAGTCTAATGGTATAGGCGTATATTATAAATAAATCTAGAGTTTTTAAAGATTTATCTTATTTAAATAAAATATAATAAAATATAGAATATAAAAAGAAAAATAAAGTTATAAAATTAATAATATTTTTCTTAAAAAAACTATTTTAATATTTTAAAAATATAACTATATTTAAAAATATAATAAGCTTAAAATTATAAATAAAATATTTTAAGTAATTAATAGGTTAAACTTATAATATATAGTTTTAAAAATATATAATATTTTACTTAATTAATAATTATAGTTTATAAAAATAAGTCTTTATTTATTTTTATTAAAAGTTTAAAAATAATTATAATTTATTAACTAAAATAGTTATTTAATTAAAATAAGTTATATTATATTATTAAAATAATTAAGTATTTTATTATACTTACTAAATACTTTTTAGTTATATAAGTTAATAGTAATATCTAGTATTAGAAGGTAGGTTACTCTTAAACTTTTAACGTTACTTTTAGGAGGGCACTATAGGAGTAGCAACCACACCACAGACACCGCGAGAGGTAGGTAAAGGTATAGGTGTTTTCTACCCTAGGGCTTTCCCCTATATATAGTAGTCTATACACTATAGAGGTACTAAATACTCTACGAGGTATTAGGGTAATATAATAATAATAATAGTTTAGGTACCTAGGTAGGTAACTAAGGTCGTTAGTAGTTAACTACTTAGTTAGGTACTGACTAACTTACTACCTAGATACTTCGTAGGTGGTAGGTACCCAGGATGCTGCCCCACGTCTGAGAAGCGAGCTTTCTTCCACCCAGCTTCGCTGCGTTTCCATAACCGTTCGCGACCATGGCCGGCAATAAGAAAAAAAAGAAGCCAGCTACTAACCCTGCACGAGGCTTTGCGACAACTTCCATTGCAGCGAAGCCGCGGCCCGAAGCGACCGAGTCAGAACTTGCCGCGCCAGCAGATGCCCCTCATGACAAACAGGATGCCCCTCTACCAACTGAGGAATCACCTAAGACGGATGGTAAAAACATAGCGGAAAAGGAATTAAGTGCCGAAGAGTTCGAGAAGCACCTCGAAGAATCCGAACTCCAGCTTCTAGTGGAGAGATTGGCTCAAAAATGCAAGCGCGATGCGGCCCGCCAGCGCAACCGACTGGAAACGGATCGGAGGCTGCTTCGAGGTCAAGCAGAGTCTGTCAACAGCTTGAAGTGGTTTAATACCGAGCTCATGGAGCATATCAAGGATGTTATTTCCGGAGAGACTCGGTTCTCTCTTTCAAGCTTATCAACAGAGAGCCATGGCGGTGGCAGGATGCCCTCGGAAGAAGAATTGATCGCCCGTCTGTGGACGCTGCAGCTCACACTACAATCCGCCGGTTTTCAAGAACACCGAGTCCGTTCTGTTGTGAAACATATTCTGGATATTACAACAAGTATATCTGCTCCAGGCAAAGATCTGATATGGGGGCTAGAAGAGTCTCTTGAATGGCTAGCGCGCGAATGTGACGTGAGCGAATTGCCGGCATATGAGAAAAAGCCAAAGACAACTTCTAAAGGTGATTAGGACCTGAAAACTCCTCACTGAGCGTTCTGACTGATCATTTGAATAGGGGAGACACCGAATGATAGTCCAATACCTTCGAGATCCGCAACGCCAAAGCCGAATCGCCAAACTGCAAACAGAGGTGCTGATGGACGGGACCGAAAAACGCAATCGCCCATCAAGAAGACGGTTGTCACCTGTGATAGTGACATTGAGCCCGATGAGTTGGTACCTGAATATGTGGCCGCCAAAACAAGATTGTTGGAGCTCTCTAGAAGCCGAGAATCTCATTCCGACAACAGAGCGATGGCGATTGCGAAACTGGAAGCAAGGATTCAAATGATCGAAAAAGACGTTCTGTTTGATAAGCCAACTGCCGAATTACAATGGCGGGCAAGAAAAATTGTTGTGGAGCAGCAGCTGGCAGCCACAAGAAAGCAATCGGAGGCGGACCGTGGGCATGAAGTGCCGATGGAACCGCTGAAGCTTGATGATCCCAAAACAATTCATATTAATGATGAGGCCGAGCGCATTGCTGCGGAAATTCTGGCACAGGATGGAGCAACGGATGACATTGGAGAATTATTCGACTCTCTGCCCCAGGACGAAGTAGATCCCACCACAGGAAAGTCGCAAACCGTCGTTACCGACGCCAACGGCATGAAGCTGGTGCTCAAAGATTTTGGAAAATGGACAGGAATGGGACCTCGTCGTATCTTGGAGGAAGCCTGTCGGTCACGGTATGTTACCCACTAGCAACTCTCGAATCGATGCACCTTGCTAACAAGGCGGCAGTGACTCGGCTGTCAAAATACAGTACAAGGTTGTCTCTGACGCTTCTTTCGCGAGCCAGCAAGCTTTAGACATTTTGTGGAATAAAGCACAAGAATTGCCTCAACCAGTACTCACAACCGACGTGTCGATAGACCTATTGCCCAATCATTTTTCTTTTAGAATGGCTGGAGTTGCTACTCCTGATACTAAGCAATCTGAAGCATACATAGCTACCGTGGCACTATTTCACGTATTTAGCACCAATACGAGAGAGGAGAAGGTGAATTTGCGGTTGCCACCAATTTGGAAAGACCTCTGGTCAGAGCTGGCGGGAGCCAAAAAGAGTCATGCCGATGCTGCAGATCGAAATGTGGTGAAGAGCTTACGAGGTTTGGTGCGGGCAAGGCTTGATCAGGAGTTGGAAGATGGCGTCATCATACACGGTGCCTTCCGAGGACGTGGAAATACTAAGCAGCAGTCCGAAGCGAATGAGGGGAGCAGTAACCGCACCAAGCAAGCCAATGGCAGCCCTGGTTTGTTTCAAAAGATTTGGGCTGACAAATCTGGCACTTCAAAGTACCAGTCCATGTTGGTAAGCCTATTAAGTCTGTGATACCGGAAAAGTTGCTAACAAAGCTCTCAAGCTGTCTCGCATGCAACTACCCATGTGGGACTTCAAAGTTCAAGTTTTGGAGGCTGTCGCAAGTAATCAAGTCGTTATTGTCTGCGGTGAGACTGGATGGTAAGTTCGTCGCTTGCGGAAAATGTGCTTTACTGACGGCCTCGTAGCGGCAAGAGTACGCAGGTTCCTTCATTCCTTCTCGAGAACGAGCTGTGCAACGGAAGGCATTGTAAAATTTATTGCACCGAACCCCGCCGTATTTCTGCTATCTCACTTGCTCGCCGTGTGAGTGAAGAGCTGGGCGAGAATCGCAATGACATAGGAACAAATCGCTCTCTAATTGGCTATTCGATTCGGCTTGAGGCCAGTGTCACGAAGGAAACCAGGCTGATTTACGCAACCATTGGTATTGTCATGCGCATGCTGGAAGGCTCCAATGATCTGAAAGAGGTTACGCACTTGATCCTGGACGAAGTTCACGAACGTTCGATTGACAGCGACTTCCTACTTATTGTCCTGAAACGTCTGATGCTCCAAAGAAAAGATCTCAAAGTTGTTCTTATGTCTGCCACAGTGGATGCAGATCGCTTCTCAGCATATCTGGGCGGCGCTCCCATCCTTAATGTGCCTGGCCGAACGTATCCTGTCGAGGTTCGCTACCTCGAGGATGCCATTGAGCTAACCGGCTATACCCCTCCAAAATCTGCTAGCGATAAGATGGTAGATTTGGATGACGATATTGGCGATCTTGATCCAGATGCTCCCAAGGATGAAATATCTCAATCTCTCGCCGCGTATTCCCCCAAGACGCGCAGCACCCTGTCCCAGCTGGATGAGTATCAAATCGATTTCGAACTCGTTGTGCAGTTGATCGCCCGTATTGCCACGGACGAGGATTTGCAAGCTTACAGCAATGCCATTCTTGTGTTCCTTCCTGGCATCGCTGAAATTCGAACTTTGAACGATATGCTTCTCGGCGACCCACGATTCGCTAAGGACTGGCTTGTGTACCCTCTGCACTCTACCATTGCAACAGATGACCAAGAGTCTGCATTCTTAATACCTCCTCGCGGAATGCGAAAAATTGTGCTGGCAACTAATATCGCGGAAACCGGTATTACCATTCCAGATGTAACATGTGTCATTGATACTGGCAAGCATCGTGAGATGAGATTTGATGAGCGCAGGCAGCTTTCAAGATTGATCGACACCTTTATTTCGAGGGCCAATGCAAAGCAACGGCGAGGTCGAGCTGGTCGTGTTCAAAAAGGCCTCTGCTTTCACATGTACACTCGATTCCGACACAATAACCTCATGAGCGATCAGCAAACTCCGGAAATGCTTCGCTTATCGCTGCAAGACCTCGCAATTCGGGTCAAAATATGCAAGATTGGTGGGATCGAGGAGACATTGGGAGATGCGCTGGATCCTCCTTCGGCAAAAAATATCCGTCGCGCAATCGACGCATTGGTGGATGTACGGGCCCTGACCCCGGGTGAGGATTTGACACCGCTAGGACATCAACTCGCACGTCTTCCGTTAGATGTCTTCCTTGGAAAACTGATTCTTTTCGGGACGGTCTTCAAATGTCTAGACGTGGCGCTCACGCTGGCTGCCATCCTATCCTCTAAATCCCCCTTTTCTGCGCCATTTGGCCAGCGCAACTTGGCGGACAACGCTCGCGCAGCATTCAGACGAGCTGATTCGGATCTTCTTACAGTATACAACGCTTATCTGGGATGGAAGAAGACCTGCCAATCCAACAGCGGTATTGGAAAAGAAATGCAATTCTGTCGCAAGAACTTTCTCAGTCAACAGACTCTGTCGAACATCGAAGATCTAAAGGGCCAACTATTGGTCTCCCTGGCAGACTCTGGATTCCTCCCGCTCACCGATGAGGAGCGGAAGGCGCTTTCACGCCAGCGCTTCTCCGGAGGCCGTGGCCGCCGGCAGCAACACTTTTTCGAAATACCTGGCCGAGTCAATATGCATAGCGATAATGATGTGGTTTCCGCTTCAGTAATCGCCTGGAGCTTTTATCCTAAGCTCTTAGTGCGAGATACACCTGGTATGAAGGGCATGCGTAATATTGGCAATAATCAGTCCATCAGCATACACCCCTCGTCGGTGAACCGCGACCACCTCGACATCAAGTGGCTCTCATATTACCACATTATGCAATCCAAAACGTATGCTCTTTCATTAGCCGCTTTTCTCTTTTCATTGAGCTAATTCATACCCAAGAGTCTATCGAGCCCACGAGACCACGGCAGCGGATCCCTTTGCCATTGCCCTCCTATGTGGAGATGTTCGCATCGATGTAAGTCATACCGCCTCAAGTCAAAAGACATCATGGCCGGGATTTAACACCGTTATCGCAGATGTTCTCTGGAGTCATTATATTAGATGGGAATAGGGGGCGGTTTGCAGTGCCAGATTGGAAGACGATGCTCGCCATCAAAGTAATCCGCACGAGACTGCGAGAGCTTCTCACGCGGTCCTTCAAACAGCCAGGCAAGCTTCCCACTGCTCAGCACGAAAAGTGGTTTGACGTTTGGCAACGGCTCTTTACACAAGACTTTTCCCAGGAAAAATCCATTGGGGTACTCTCGAAAGCATAGAGGTCTAGATATGATGCGTATCAGAGCGTATTCGTAATGACCGACTACACGGCAACCCAGCGCTACCATTTTCAGATAGCATAGAAACTCACATTTGAAAACATGTCCAAATAATTAGCAGGTCTGTGGCATTAGAATGATACATTGTTTTCTGCGTTCTGCGTTTGATATTGCAGATTTACAAAATCTCGTCCTTAGATTCCCCAAATCTGCATCGGTTGAAAAGCCCGCTATGTCACACTTCCATTCTCGCCGCCGTTCTTGCCGACACCGGCAATGAACATGGCCTTAAAATCGGCATTGCTCTTTTTTGGTTCGGGTGTCGACGAACTTTTTGAAGCGGCCTCAGTGCTGCTCCCAACCGCCTTCCACGGTCCGAAACCCAACCCACGCTTGGGACCCGATCGAGCCGTCCTGGGACGGCGTAATCCACTGGGCGCAGGCATGAAGCCACTGTTGATTGAGTTCATATTGCCAATGTCACCGTTTGCAGTTTCTTTGTCCTTTAGCTTTGCTGCAGTTTGACCATCGCCACGCTCTGCTCTGGCGTGTCGGAGCTGGTCTGGCGATCCCGTGCGCAGCTTGTAGCCCTCATACTCCATGCTGTGGAGTTGAAGAGCTGCCTTTCCAGCACTAGCTGCATCTGCAAATTCGATGATGGCACCACCATGCATCGGCTGCATTACTAGTCGAACAAGAGGACCAAATGGCTCAACAAGCTTCTGGACTCTGGCGTCATTGATGGTGTCAGGCAGGCCAAGTAGGGCAATGGTACGAGCGCTGAAATCTTCAGCAGCGGTAGCGTTATCCTTCTTCTCTACCACGTTGGTGTTCATAGGAGTGTCTCCATTGGTGTCCACGGCCGCTGCGCCAACATTCTTTGCGGTTGTCTTGACTTTAGATACTTTGGACAGGGAAACTTGCAATATTTGACGGCGAAACTTGGTGTTGTTCAGCTCAGACACAGCTTTCTCGGCTTGCTCTTTCGTCTCGAAGTCGAGGAAGCAGAAGCCGCGGTGTTTGCCTGAAAGCCCTCGCGGTATGTTAACTCTGGTGACGTTTCCAAACTTGGAAAAGATGTCCCTTATGTCTGATTCAACGACAGCATTGTCCAAATTCGCCACGTGCACTTCGCGACCTTCTGCGACAGCACCTTCGCGTCTCTTTTTGTGATCAGGATTAGACAGTTTAGACAATAACTTGTACTTGCCCTCGAGAAGCTTTCCTTCCTTCCCCACCGCGTTGGCTGCGGAGGCTTGGTCACGAAAAGAGACGTAGCAGAAGCGGCGGTGCGCATTCACTTTCAGGCTAGGCCATCTAATGCTCAAAATATCGCCACAGTCTTGGAACAGCTCACGTACATATTTCTCGTCCGCGGCTGGGGGATAGTTGGCCACATAAACTGTTAGATCATGGCCAGACTTAACTTGTATCTGGTGCTCCCCGAAGTATTTTTGATCGCGAAGAAGGGCGGACTCAGCTTCAGACGACGATGTCAATTCAACCAAGGCAGTGATCGAATTGCCGTCTTCCTCTTTCACAAAGGCAGTAAAGTTTTTGACATGCCCATAATCCCTGAAATATTGTCGAACTTTACTCTGCGTAGCATCAGGTGGCAAATTGAAGATGATTATTGTAGAGTTCTCGCGGTCGCGCTTGACAGTCTGATATGTGGTTGAGTCTGCATCGTCGTCTTGCATGCTCTTTTGGCGCTTCGCCGATACTTGCCCAGATTCGTCGTCGTTTGTCGAGTCATGCTTCCTTTTGTTCACAGTGTGCGCGTCTTCGCCAGCAGGGCCATGCACCTCTTGTACTGCCGAAGAGTAATAGGCGGCATATGCAGCAACCTGCTCTTGCTGCTCGCGCTCACGACGCTTCTTGACACCCTTCTCGGCCCTAAACACACTATCAAGGCATTTGCGCAGCGATACGGGAGATTCGTAGTCATTGCAGTGTTGCATGTATAGCTCAAGGACCTTCTCAGGCCAGTCAATGCTGCGTCGTAGCGATGCCTTGTGTAATACTTCGGTGGCAAGCGATGGAATGCGATCTGATGGTATTGACGAAGGCCCTTGGTTCTGTTGAAGCTCGGACCAAAATACAGACATTTCCCATGTATAATATCGTGTCCAGAATTCGTACGTGTCTGCATACAGCTTCACATTGGCCAGCTTCTTCCACAATGCTCTAGCTTGAGGCACAGCATCCTTCACTTCGGTGAGGAATTGCAGGTATATTCTCTCCAGCCTGAGCTTCGGGTCGCCTTGGTAATCTTTACCGTATAACTTGCTTCCTCTTGCTCTGACGTCGTCAAGGCAGGACGCAATGGCAGCATCGGCCACGTCCACGATTTCATCTCCATTAGTGGCAATCATGACGGATCGTTTGACATATCCACACCACGATTGATACATCTCAATGATGTTATCCATGCCATTGGAGCATAATTGTTCTTGCTTGGCGGCGAGGGCTTTGATCGACTCGATCTCTTCAAATGAAAGTTGGACCTCTTCCGCGCAAAGAATGTATCTGGCCCAAAGGCGGCCTGAAGATGGGCAATGGTGAACGGCGCGGCGCGTAGCATCAAACAGCTTTTCGAGAGGGTGAAGTTGAGGACGTGCTGATAGGAACGATATATAACCATACCAAACTGGTTCGTCAAATGCGAATATCCCCGAGAGGGCTCTATCGTGGAGAGCAGAGCAGATATCCGCCGCGAGCTGTGGGTCGTCCTGGTCTTTCCAGCTTTGCGTGGTCTCCCATGCCAGATATTCCATCATAACCTTTCGCTGCGAGTCCAAGTCGCCTTGCCTAACTGATTTATTGATTTGCATTTCGAAGGGATCTCGCGCCGTAATAATGGCTTTGATCTTTTGAGCACTTGACGTGACTTCTTTCATTGAACTTTCCCATGCGCTCTTGTCGTGCTCGGAGAGAAAGCTGGAGAAGGATTGTGAAGTCAGTTCCCATGTGATATGTGGAGTTGCGAGGCGACGTTTGTACTCGTTCGCGATTCTCGTGACTGTTTCGGGCCGTTTGTTGGTGGCTAAATTGTCTTGCTCGATGGCTATCCATTTGTCCCACAAGAGATGGCTGTCGCCAACGCGGTATTTGATGGCCTCGTACCCTTGCTGCCACAGATTGAGTTCCGCTCTGAGTGAGAAAACCTCTTGTCCTATATCTTTTTCCTCGTCGGACCATGCAGTCTCGGCACTGGCGCTGGCGGCGCGAAGAGATGAGAAGTAATGGCAGTAAGCCAGCCACGTTTTCAGACTACCAGGCTCTGCAGTCGTGGCCTTTTTGTATAGTTCGACTATATTGACGCTTTGCTCCAGATCAGTGGCGTCGCGCGTCGCCTCCTCCAAGTACGAGAGCCAACTTTCCTCTCCCACTGGATTGGCCATTGTCGCGGGCGGTCGGTCAGCTGTCATTCGGGGACGCTGCTGACTCCGGCCCTGCCAGGCGTAATTTATTGCTTGTATTTTTAGTGGCAAACTGTGTGCGAGGCTGCGTATGTGTCTTGCTGGTCTTTAAGTTGTGCAGTCGTAGCTTTGATTGTTTTGTATTTAGGGCCTGCATAGCTTCGCGACGGGGCGCTGTACAAGGTACCTAGGCAGGCACCTGCTTGGCACTGGTGCCTCTTCCTGATAACTAAGGCTTATCAGCCGGTCGCTGTGGGGCTGGCAGCGCCACGTGGTGGCATGAGAAACATGCTGCTTTGACTCGGCATGTATAAGGAATTTCGCCTGTTGACAATTATTTTCCTTCATTCATACGTTAAGCAAAACTATTATATCTAACAAGTAGGTGCACTACGTTTCATTGATGCTACGACAGAATACTCAGGCCACTACACTACACACCCGGGCGCTGTTGCCCGAGAGCCATTACGCACGAAATCGCGGCACAGCACCAGGGTACTGAGTACGCTGAGCAAAGAAGTACTGGTGGGCTGATGATGATGACCGTCACCGTTAAGAGGTGCATTGAACACCAAGCAAAGGTGAACGATGACCTACCAGACTCGGACAACAGTCGCTATGTAAAGAGAACATTCAAGGCTAGAAGCATAGGTACACGCCAGAAACGAGTCGCACAAGTAATCGCACGCTTGGCGGGTGGGGCGAAATTATTGTAGAGACAAAGAGAGTAACTACCTGTGAAGGCCTACATATGTACGGGCGAAGCAAGGAAAGAGTATTGCTAGGGGGACACTATTGTTTTACTAGGGGGACAGGTGTACTTAGTTTTCAAGGAAAACAGGCGACTGCGATGATGGCGTATCGTCACATTTGCAAGAGCACTTAGGCATCTGTTACCGATCAAATCAGCTCTGCGCAATAGCAGCCTTATCGCCAATGGTTACATATTCGAGCGGAAATGGTAAATTGCCAAAATTAGGCAGCGCGGTATCACCTTTCTGCGTGATTTATCGTGTTCAAGGTTGCACCTTGTTTTTAGAAATGTTGTAAAGCTACCTACTCACTTGTTATCTCGGTGCCCTTGAATTCTGTCTGACCGAGCTGCTTGGCCTGTACCACGCTGGCAGCTGGCTAGCAACTAGACACGGTAGGGTACCTAAAGAGGCTGACTATCGTTTAAATAGAAAGTCAGATTTACCAGAATACACACTGCTTTTGCTGTAGATAATACCGGAGTCGCGGGAGTTTGCTGGCCTCTGGTTCACTTGGCTGTCGAGGCAGTTTCTAGGTACGTATGCCTACTGCGTACCTACATTTATCAGGATTTATATGATTCGCAAACATCCTTGCAAGACGCGTGCCAAGTAATGATAGCTGTAGGCCGCGGAAGGGATGCGCCTTGTGCCTATGTCTTCTACTAGTACAATAAATCCGTACGAAACCCTACCGACATGCGCCACTACAAGACGAAGCGTCAGTAGATAGCGAGATGCTCATATATCATATTAGTAGAGGACTCTCGACAGAAAATGGCCGCCGTGCCGCACAGAACTTTGTCAACTGTGTGGCGCGCGCTAGTAATGACTCGGGACCGTCTGTGCCCCTTGCTGGTTGCATGAGATGCTAGAATTCTGGGCAGACAAGAAAAAATAGCACTTGGTGTCGCGTCAAATAATAAGAGAAATCAAAAGAGATGCACTGAACCAAGCTGCGTCACTGCGTGCGCGTGATTGCGTGGTTGCCAAGCTGCCCGCCTTATTACAACAAGTAAGCGCCCGGCCAACTGTTTCAGTCTCATGTCTTGACTCCTGGGGCAGCAGCAGTCATGCCATGCGAGACAAGTCCGTGTACGCATCGCATGATGAACCCACCCGCACGCAAGCCGTGCTCAACGATATCATGTAAATGCAGTCAGATCTTAACTATGCAGTTACCAGAATCCTTGGTATAAGCACACAATGTACTACGGACCTATGTATACGCAGGTTTGTGCAGGAAGATGTTGCAGTAAGGTATCCTGGCAAATCTGCCCGAGCCACACCAGACCAAGCCGATTTGTATTAGCCAAGCCTGACTACCCAAATAAAACTGCAGATACATTGAGCTCAAGGCCCTGTGGCCGGCCCTTTTTGCACGAGCTTGGCTCCCCGCAAGACAGGGTTCAAACTCTCCATCCTATCTACAGAGTATTTGACTACGATAGGTACCCAGTAACTGGTACGTAGGTAGGTACTTAGAGGCTAGCTAGCGCGCACTGGCTCCTTTTAATACTTACCTAGGTACCTATTATTACCCCCCTTCCTGCTGCGCCGGCCTACCCATCATTGACAGGCATGTGTGCCAGCCTTTCCGCTAATATTACATCGCTGTCAGAAGTCTCCGTCTCACTCTGCTTTTACATCGTGAGCTGCCTGGTTCCGCGCGCACCTTCATTTTTACGACCTTCCCTACTTCTTCCACCGCAGTCTGTCCTTCCCTATTCGCGCCTATCTAGCCGCTTTCACGTCGCTCATTCTTGGCTACTCCGTTCTCGTAGTGTATCTTACTTTCACTCCGCGCGGACCGGTTCCCGCTTGCAGCCTCTCCTTTCTCGAACAACGCTTGCACACGAGACTGTCTCACTTCTCGTCGTCGATTCACAAAGAAGACGCCGGCAATTCGATAGCCGCTTTTGGCGCTAGCTGGCTCGTCGTCGGCAATTTCCAGAGTCGCCTTCGCTATCAGTTATTCCGAGTCGCCACGACTTCCAATAAGCCATCTCGACCACGCCGCCAGGCCATCGATCCAATTCGACTCGAGCTGATCCACGACGATGTCTCAATTCCGGCTCTGGGCCGCCCTGGCCCTACTGGGGCTCATTACTATTTCTGTCATGGCTGACGGCGTCTGCGTGGTAAATAGTACCGCATGCTCGTGATGCAGTTCTTTCATTAACGTAGGGTGCTCCTAGCCGACATGTGCCGACGATATTCAAAATACACATTTCAAAGAACTTGGGTGCACGGCTGCCAATGAAGCAGGCTGTCTATGTGTATCACAAGGCTTTGTCGACCTCGTCGCTGAGTGCTCCGTCAGGAGCTGCGCCGCCAATGTCGATGAAATCAGACAAGGGTTGGTCGGAAGCGACCCGCCTCGGTTCTGCGTGGGCAAGTCGTGCCCTCGAAACGAGCATTGACCTGTAATACTAACAAGAAGCAGGCCAAGCCGATAAATTGCCCGCTGCGCGTGTCTCTGCGTCCCCATCTTCCCCAGCATCGACGTCAGCCTCAACAAGCCAACCCGCGGCAAGCACGCCACCACCTTCGTCATCTTCGACTGTATCACCATCGCCAACGTCGGCATCGCCAAGCCTTACATCGAGGCCTGCATCCACTCCTCCTGCATTATCCACGTCAACAACTTCAACTACTCCAAGTACTTCAGCCGCCCCAGTTACCACAGCCACAAGTAGCACAATATCTGTGAGTTCGGTATCGTAACCAGGTCTCGAATATACTCACTAAATGACAATAGTCCGGTGCTACTACAACCGGCCGCTCGAGTACTTCGACAAGCGCTGCTAGTGAGACCTCCCCGACATCTTCACCTGTTCCTTCCTCTGGTATTACATCCGGCGCAGCAGCTGGAATCGGCATCGGTGTTGCGATTGTTGTTGTGGCTGTTGCTGTTATAGCTTTCTGCTTGCTCAGGAACCGAAAGAAGCAGGCTGCGCCCCGACACTCGATAGAAATCTCCAAACCGCTCCCCGGTTCAGGACCTACATACCCCACGCGCGATGAGCGGGATAGGGACCGGGATTCGTACGACAAGTACGGGCATGACATCGAGATGACATCCCATCGGTACGAGGACATGATTCCAAGCCAGCAACCACGAAACATGGTGTGATGAAGATCAGCGCGGAACATGGTGCTGAGGCGTACACAAAAGTTGAAACTGCGACGCTTCCATTATGCGCAAACTTTCCAGTCCAGGGATTCTTCAAGTGCATATTTACCATTGTTTCTTATTATCTGTTGACTTCTTTCATCTCATGGATTTAGCCGCTTTAGGTCAACTCCACAATCGTTGTAGATGGACCAGCTGGATTACGTAGAAGGGGGTTTTTCTTGTTCTGATTGAGTTCTGCAGCTCCTATTCTATGTACATATTTGTTACAACTCTCAAAGTAGTTCCGGTTAAAACTGTATGAACGACGAGTGCATGGAAAATTACCAACTGTAGTATGGTCGCTGGCCATGAACGCTGCGGTTAGGCAGATGGATCCACGGGCCCTTGGCAGTCTTCTTTGCCTCACGTTCCTCATGCTCACGCACTCTCGTCCTCTCTTCCTTGAGCATAATAGTCAGGGCTAGGTAGGTTGAAGGTTAGTTTTCCAAATAAAACTGTAAACAATATTTCATTCACGTCACATACAGGTAGCGGGGTGCTGGATGAGGCCCATTCGTCCACGTCCCTTGGCGTCTATGCTCTTTCCGCGCCACTTTCCTCGGCCCACCCACGACTGTGCAATATACATACGAGACGGATCAACAACCTCGACCCATTTGCCTTCGCCGGTCTGAATCTTTTTGGGGGTGTGATAGAGCTCGCCATTGACCTTGCCGAGGCCCATTCCACGCTGCGCAATTGCGAGATCGCGAGCCTCTTCCAAGTAGTATCGGATTTCGGCAGCCATTTTCTTTTTGGACCACGTCATCTGTGTAATGGCATCGTCCACTAACTTGCCCGAGATTTGGCGGGAGAGCATCATCAACTTCTTGACGCTGGTTGCCATGAAGGGGCTCTTGTGCACGAGCTGTCGTTCCGTCATCTTTATCCTTTGCTCCTTTGTCATGCGGCCGTTCTTACGGACCATTTGAATGACCTTTCTCCGTTGCCATCGCATGCGCCCAAGGGGATCCGGATCGACAACCATGGCCGTGTTCTCTCGCGTCTTCTGTTCAGCGCTTTGGGCCGACACGCGAGTGTCGTCTTTCGCGTCACTAGCAGCTGCGGTCTCGATCTCATCCTGGAAGATGTTGTTCTCGATCTTGCCATTCATGTTGCGGTCGAGGAACTGTTGTCGCCTTTTGGGGTCGTCGAGGTCGATCCCAGAAAGTGCATCTTCCTTTTCGGATTTCTTGCCCCAGCCCTTGAACAGACTCCATTTGTTTCGCTTCTGCGCAGCTGTTCCAATAGTTACCGGCACTGAGCTAGTGAACAGCGTGAGAGACGTAGAATATCGCGACCCTGCTTGAAAATTAGCCGATTGAGACGAGAAGGCCGGCGAAGAGCTTACCTGACGGTATGAGCCGCCGGGAGGCGAGGCGAAAACTCATCGGAGCGGTGGAATGCTTCGTCTACGCCTTGACGGTATGAATTACTATTTGCATTTCCTAGGTTTCAAGCTTGCCACGGTCCCAGTCACGGACATCTTTTCGCCGAGGACCGCGGTTTTGCCGGGCTGCGCGAATATCACGTGACCCTACTAGCGCGATTATCGTTCGATGTTGCAGTCCTCGGCTGAATTCAGAGTAGTTGCAAGACAACTCGACACGTCCCTTTCTATCGAAACACCCGAAATTTAAGCACAAACAAGATGGCAGTCGCTCCGATTACTGGCGTACGTTTTTGCAAGCTCAATGGTTCTACGCAGCTGCCGCATGCACAGCTCCATTGATGCGCCCTGTTTCTTTTCGACGTGGCTAACCTTTGCTCAGATGCTCCGCCGCCGCCTCATAGTTGACCTTGGGGTTGGTCTCGGTACGTTTTCGAGATTTCGCTCGAATTGACTGCTCAGCCATCCTCGTGGTGGCCCCGGCTCGACAAATTTGCGAGGCTGCAGGAGCTGTTCTTTCAATAATACACTTACATGCTAACATTCGCTCCTTCAGGTGCTGGCTTCCTCATGGCGAACGCTTTCTGGTGAGCTTCGCTGCCGTGCTATCGTCAACTAGGTCGTATCAATTTGCTAACCACAAGAACAGGTACGGCTACCATATTCCCCGTACCAACGCCCGCGATAACTACTACTCCAAGCTGGAGGAGAAGCGCCAAGCCGAGAAGCAGTAATTGCCAACTTAGGTCGATGTGCTGTTAAAAGAGAAGGGCCAGCTCGGTAGCCAATAGCAGCTCCTGTTGCAATCGAATCTGGCAGAATAGACCGTGGAACATGAGCGCTTTCAGTCCGTGCAGGACTGTTTGGTCGTCGGACAATATGTACATTAGGCAGGGCATCCGAATAGATCCGGGTTGGACTTTTACAAAACATGCAATTTTTTCCGTCATTGCGATGGTACAGCAGTCCTGTGTATGTAGACGGACAGCCGGTTTTTTTTCCGGATTGAATTCCTGATCTATGTTGAAGTTTGCCCATGATATTGCCGATAGTTTTATTTATTGTACAACAGCTTGTCAGTGATACATTGACTTCTTTCATTGAAAGGCATTGCTAGATGAGAGCCCGATCTTGTTGATCAAGGTCAAGGCGAGACAAATGATTTTCTTGCGTTGCGCCAAGAGTTCCTGGCCTGACTTCTGATCCAGTAGACACCCCCCACCCCAAAAAAATCACTCTAAAGATTAAGCACGAAAATTTGTGAAGATTGTGGTCGAGCGGAAGCCCGCCGTCGGCGCTGATTATGGAGGCAGCATTGCAAGCGATGTGATTTGCGGTTAAACCTCGAAGTGCACGAGAGGAATTCCTGTAGGCTCCCTCCGCATCACGAATCTGACCAGTTGTTTGTCCATTGAAGTGTCGTAGTCTGATTGGAAGTGCGGCCGAGAGGTCGGGATGCGCCTTGAGGCTTCCCTTCCCAAACCGTCGTCTCTACCGAGAACATGGCCTTTTTATCTTTGCACCTGTCAATCACAGTCAGCCGCTCCATTGCCCAACAAAGACAAGAGATTGATAGCGATAACTCACATTCGAAAGAAGCGTGTCACAGGCCAGCAACTAATTGGGCTGTGGGGTATCGATTCATCCTTGAGCTCGCATTCCCATTGATTCATCTTGAATAGCTTGCACGCCGAAAGCTCTATCCGGCGGGCGCCCCCTTCCAGCTTGCGCCGCCGACCATCAGCGTTTTCCTGTATACGGGTCGGTAACTCCGAGGCATCAAAGGTGGGACACGGCGGCGACATTTTTTTTTTTTTTGGTAATGGAGGCGGCGCTGGGTAGCAGTATCCTCAATGAGGTGGCAGGTGAAAGTTTTGCAGAGGTACGTGTAAAATTGCCTCAGTCATACACCACCAACCGACATGGTCGACGCAAAATCATCCCCGCCAGCAAAGAACAGAAAGTACAAAACCAAGAACGAAATTCATTTGGCGTATAAACTTTGTGTGCCTTTTCAAATACTCATAATTTTCTCTTGTTTCGACTGGTTCAGTGTTGAAGTCGCTGACATGTGTAGATTCTTGGCAGCCTCCGCAACGCTTATAAGCCGATTGTTGCGTCAGGACATGACGCAACTACAAATTACAAGGTCAAGAAAACTGGAATCAGTGCATTGGATGAAATCATTGGCAGGCACTTTCAATATACCAAGACTGGCGGCTTGGCTATCACGGGCCGTTATCTCCCACTCGTGTACAAAATCGCATCTACGCTGGCCTCCCCCCCTAACAACAAAGTGGTCATCATTATCGACTATGAGGGATCATTTCAAGCCTCTGGACTAAATTGCAGCGAATCTGCTCTTGAGCACATCTACGTGCTGCGACCGGCTGAGAACACGCGCGACAAGCTCAGAGACGTCATAGCCAGCACCGAAAACTATGTGATATACAATGAGGAAGCAAAGAAGAGCGCCAATCTAGAGCTCTGGGGAACAATAGTTCTTGGTAGTACGACAGGGGGTGATGCTACCGCCGGATGGAAAGGGTGGTTACGCGTCGACCGAGAAGAAGTACGGCCTTTTCCACCAGACATCAGTATCGAAGAGGCACTACAGCAGCGAGAGGAGCGCCAGAGGGCGGTTGAAGCTTCTTGGTGGCAAGTTTCATCGGCATGGGGAGGCTTTTGTTTCAATGACAATTGGCCTTGATTAAAAGAGGCAAGGAGATAGCGAGCATACCTGCCGTCTTGGTAGCTGTAGTTGTTTGTGGAACGCTATTTGGAACGCTACAAGGCCCTACAAATTCATAGAAAAGTCCACATGGCTTCTGATATTAGAAATTTGGACATATCATATACATGAGAAGTCTGTGTAAACAATCTAGTTTGCGCCGTTCCAGCTCTTGGGTGACACTGTAACTGCCGAATGACGAGACAGCAAATGCAGTTCATCAGAAGTTGAACTGAGAAAGGAAACAACTCCATACCCGAGAACAGATGCTAAGACTAAATAAAGACCCATGAATCACAAAAGCGAGTGCTGGCGAAAGAAGTGGGATGGAGCAATAGCTACTAGACCTGCAGTTCATCAGGCTCCACAACAGCCAGCGTATCGCTCGGCGTAATGACTTGCTTCTGGAGCGTTTTTACAACACGCTTGCGCATCTCTCGCTGGATTCCGTGGTTGACGGCATCAAGAACGGTATCGACGGTGACGCGTGGCTTATATGCAGGCTCGGTACCCTCTTCGTAAACCCCAGTCTTGACAAGAATGCTGTACCATTCGTTGTTGGCCTTTTCGTTGACGGCGTTAGTGCCGCGAATATCACTCTCGGGCGTGTCCCCCACGAAATAGACAGTCTGGGGAGGCTTAACGAGTCCGTGCTCTGCCTGACGCCACTGTCTCATGAGACGATAGGCAAACTCGAATGTAGGAACCTGAGGCTTGCCAAAAGCATGGGTGTATAGTTCACCCTTGCCTCCAGTGATATCCTTGAATGTAATCTCGAACATGCGGCGCAGAGCGCCCATGCCGAGACGAACGTGCTCGTGTGCGGCTGACCAGACAACGTCATTGTGGGAGAAATAGAATGGCGGACCCTCGTCGAAAGTCTCGCTGCGCTGGCTGAGAACACCGCCCTTTGACATGGCAACATCAAGCATGATCTGGATATCGCCAGCCCAGTCACGAGAGTCGGCGAAAACAAACACAGCGTCAATCACGACGTCAGAAAAGTCACGAGTACGTGAATTGGCATGCTCTTCGTCTGTGAGCTTGCGGAAAGGTGTCGTCGCGGCATCGTGCTTGATGATGTCGCCAGGTGTGACCACATCCTTGAAGCCGTAGCCCTCGGCGACATTACGGCAGGTCTCGCCTTCACCACCAATGACGAGAACTGTCTTGTATTTCTGAGCCATTTCCCTCATGGGAGTATGCCCGCATATAAATTGACCAGGTTGAACATCCTGCTGGAGCTGACCGGACAAGTCTTTGCATCGTTGCTCTTCGGTTTTACCGCCTCCGTTTGTCAGAAAGATGTGAGGACTAAAAAATTAAGATAAATTCGATTGCTGATTAGCAGGGCAAACTTACATGTGTAGGCCGTATTCGTTGTCACCGTTGAGGACTTGCATCGCCTTGATCGCTTCTGGAATAGGCTTGCCACCTCGAACGAGGACACCATCAATGTCAAAAGCAAAGACGAACGAATCCGCAACATTGCTTGGAGAATTGACAGAGCCAGGTGTTGCAATACTTGTCATGCTACCTCTGGAGCTACCGACGTCTAGCTCTGGTGAGGCGGCCCTAGATTCGATCGGTGTTCCCGTAGAAACACTTAACTTTCTCTTGACCTGAGCCACCTGCTCGAAGAAAGCAGCCTGCTGCTTGGGTGTAGCCATGGTGTATTAAGTTCGCTCTTATCCCAATATCGGATCTAATCAGAGGAACCATGCCAAAATTTGTCTGTTAGAAACAGTGTTGTGCGGGTCCGACTGGGTGGAGAAGTGTCAATCACAAGTGAACAATTGAGAAATCTACCGTTCTGAACGGTGAGAGGGCACATAGTATTTATAATCTAGCTTGCCTTTGATGGTGACTTCATCGCCTTTGATGCGTGTTTCGCCTGCGGTATGATTGCATACTGGCCGCCTCTTCTTTATTGGTTCCTTCTGCGGCAACCTGTAGCCAGAGGTCCATGAAAAAAAGGCCCCTTGATCCACTACAGTTCCACATACCCAGAAAAGTCTGTGTGATCGTCCAATGAAGTATGAGGTTTGGAGCCGTCGTCCAATAATCGATTAGCTGGACGGTTGATAGTGAATGGCTTCTGGCTTTCAAAGCTGTCAATCAGAACGATGACGCAGACACGCTGCCCAAGGCTCTAGCGCAGGCTACGCTGAGAAGTAACGCCACTTTCCCAGACTTATTACTTCGTATTCTTCCGCAATTTTCTCCAAGAGCTCCAACTAATAGCCAATAATTCGCCACGTCTCCAAATTTAGGGTTCATCAAGCTTCTGTCCTGGCAATAATGTGCATTCTGTCTAGCGCTGTGATGAAATATTTTCCCCGAATCCCCAGTAGACCCGCTCAAGATGCGCGGTGAATGCCTCCTTATTTAACTCTTCAGTCGCCAGCGCTGTAACTGCCCAGCATGACTTCTTATCTTAAGTGCATCGCATCATTAAATGCAGAAATCCGCTATTACATACAGACTGACCGTTATTGAACGCTACCACCTTCACTTCAGTGTCACTGCCTTTCGCTGCTTCAAATCTCTATGTAATGAGGCATTCTGCTAACAAACAGGGGCGTAAACAGGTACATCAAAATTCCCCTATCCAAGTGTGTTCATGCGCATTTGCAGACGCAGATAGTAAACTATTCACCTCACAGTGCTAGAAAATTTACACAAAAAGGCAGACAAATACGGCAAAAGCCCCTTTTTCGAGTGACCGCATGAGCCTTATGCCAGTAACAGCACTCAAGGGTCTTTCTGGGTCTTGGCCGATCATCCCACCAATGACGTCAGATATATTCCACAGCAAAAGCAAAGCTAAGAGGTCTGCTCTCGCCGCCCAGGGCCTGAACAACTGAGAATTGTCGGTCGACCGTTGACAATCGAGGCTAATAATTGTCTCACAGAGACACGCTGTCACGTTCCTCAGTACGAAACTCTCTAGTGACCAGCTATCTTTGCTTGGTTGGGTGATTTGTGCACTACCAGTAGGTTGCTAGGACCATATAGTCTCATACATATCGCATTCAGACCAATCAAACCGCTCGACGTCATGACCTTAAGATATGCTCGAGTCAGTGAAACGAAATACCTTATTATCAGCAACCCAGGCTAATAACGGGGTTTCTCCATCGATTTTCCAATTGTGCGTTGCAGATAGCGCGGCATACTAGAAACGGCCTCAAGCTTATACTCGCATGATGGTAGTCCTCATTCTCGAACAGGGACGCTTCAATAGACGGCCAATGTCTACCTGCGAAAGTTTCACTTTCTTCGAATGAAAAAAAGAACAGCGAATAGCAACGCGTCCCGTGTACGCCGTCAATTAGCAACGGTGATTGTAATTGAATCACTCCATGAATCGGCACCTGACAATGCGTGCTTGGGCCAGGATGGTTCCAAGAGATCAGGTTCAATGGCACCCCTTTTACCTCGAGTGCCCGCTAAAGCTTTTCTGCCTCAAGTTAGAGCCCGTCTCCCGCCGCTTTGCAGGCCGAAGCATAGATAGCTCATTGGAGATTCACGAAGAGGCCGCCGTCCACAAGTAACTGGGCTCCTGTTACGTAGCCACTCAACCCTTCGCACGCGAGAAAAACCGCAGGCCCAGCCATGTCGTCCGGAGCCCCAGTGCGGCCTAGAGGAATACGGCCCTCCATATAAGTCCTTTTGGTATCATCGGCAAGATCCTCCTCATTGAGCTGAGTGCGGATAGTTCCCGGCAACAGCGCATTGCACCGGATACCATATTTGCCCAGAGCCACTGCCGTGCTCTGCATGAGGCTAGTGACACCGGCCTTTGTGGGAGTGTAGTGAGTCTGTAAACCTCCTCCAACTAGAGCGGAAATGGAAGAAATGCCGATGATGCTACCGCCTGATGGTGCTTGATGAAGAGCCATCTGTCGAGCTGCTGCTTGAACAATATAGAATGCCCCGTCCAGATTCGTCCGCACCGTCACCTCAAAAAGATCTGGCGAGAGTGTCAGAAAATCGGCAAATGTGCATACTCCTGCGTTGCTAACACAAGTATCTAGTCGGCCATTGCGGGAGTGTTGCACTGCAGCGGCAACTAGCTGGGTCGCCGTCTGGCGATGCCGTATGTCACCAATCTCATGCGCAAGCACACCCGATTCAGAGTCCTCTTCTCGTAGCACTTTGGCTTCTGCAATCAACGAGTCCAAGTGGACTTGATCCTGTTCTAAACCGAGGTGGTTGACGAGCACGTCTGCCCCCTGCCTCAAGAATTGCAGACAGATCGCTCGACCGATGCCAGTTGTACCACCTGTGATCAGCGCGGTTTTGCCCTTCAGTAGACCTTTGATAGCCATGACAAGGCTCCCAGCGTTTGGGCGGAGGCTAGGAAGGGATCAAGGCGAAACACACAGATATCTTGGGATAAATGCAATCGAAGTCGATGCGTGCAATCTAGCTCAATACTTCGAGTGCTGCGTGGCCCAATTTAGCGCATTGCAGCTATGAAGATGATGGGTGGTACGGTCTAGGAAGGCGTTGTCAATTGTCAGCCTGTTGCATAGGTTTTTGTCGGCCGAAAAGTGGGTTAGCGGTTACGGGCAAGGGGTATGAAAAATACACCGCCGATCCACCAAGGCCTCCACCACCACCACCACCACTACCACCCACCACCACTAACCTTAACATAATAGGCGCTAAGGAATATAATACGCCTTAAAAGGCACACTTAAGAGGCGCTTTTAAGTTCCTTAAGTATAAGGGAATTCCCTATTAACGTGATAAGCTATATTAATTCTTTAAATTCTTATAAAGGTAAGGGTTAGCTACTATATATAACCCTAATAACTTATACTATACCTAATATAATAACCCTAATAAGACTAAAATAAGAGGCTAAAAAAGAGCCTTTAGCTATATTAATCTTAACGTTATTAAGGCCCTAATAGAAGATAAAGGGTATAACGCCTAGTAGTTACTATAATAGACCTTAGCTCTTAAAGCTAATAGTAGTAAGTATAATATAATAAGCTTAATAATCTAGAATACTATAACTAAGTAAGGCCTTTATAAGTATATTACTTAATAGGTTAATTATATATTACTAGTATTAGCTAAGAAGTAGCTTAATTAAGCTTATTATATACTAGCTCTAAGGCCTAAGGTAAAGGACTAGTAAGAGGTAGTTTTCTCTAATAAAAAGCACTTTAGCTTTAGTAGTAAGGGAAGAGCCTAGATTATTAGGAAGAATAGCTACTAAGATAATCCTAATTACCTATAAGAATAGCTAAAGCCTACTAAGTATAATCTTAAGCGCCTCTACGCCTAAGTAGCTATTAGATATAATTATAAAAGCCCTTTAATCTAATATAAGGTGCCTAGTAATACTAATAGTAAGATAAGCTAGAAAGTATACCTTAAGATAGTCCTAAAGGGCTTTATTAAGTTAAGCTTAATAAAGACCTTTAAGGACTATAGCTAGCTACTAGTCCTTAAGGAAGACGGTAATAGTAGCTATAGGCTAGGTAAGAATAACCTAGTTAGGAAGTAAAAGGATTAAAATAATTTATAATATTACTTTAATTACCCCTAGAGCCCTAATTTTTCTTTTATTAAGAACTACTAGGGCTATATTATAGCCTTTATTAATAAGTAGCCTTATTAGGATCTTAATACCCTCTATATACTAGCTAAAGAGGCGTAGGCTAATCTTTAATAATTAACTATTAATATATATATTAATTTTATACTTATTAGGCTATAGTACTATATTAATCTTTAAGGTAAACAGACTGCCTAGTGATTTTACTATAATATATTTTTTTTTTATATTTTTAGTACTTAAATTAAGGTTATTATGGTAATAATAAATTAGTTATAGTTAATGGTGTGGATCGGCGATGTTTTTTTCATACCTAGGGACGGGGTAAGGGTTCAGGGTCAAGAAGGCTTAAGGGTTATGATTAAGGGTTATGGCATTTTAGGTATTCTGGTGGTAGCCGACTAAGTATGCGAAACGGGTCAATAATTAACAGCGCTCAGGCCTAGGGTGATTTAGAGTAAATCATCACCGAATCCTTGTATTGCTTGCTCCGATTGATCCGGAGGCACTTGCGACAAGGGCGTCTTGAAGCTGGGCCGAGGACTCCACGGTAGCTGTTTGTTGACAGAAGAGGCGAAAATTGATCCAGTCAGATCCAGATGTTTGCTCGAGCCTGTGTAGTAACGACTAGAAAAAAAGAGCTCGCATTGTCCGGGCGTGTCCCTTACAACTTCACCGTTTTCCAAGGATAAAACGCATGCTTTGGTGGATCTTCCACCGTTTTCACCTTGAACCACCGTCTTCTCTCACTGGGCATTTCAAGCATGCTTACTCATAACTGGGATGCCTATTATTCGCTAGGTACACGTGCCCGCACCCGTCGCTCCGCTTAGGTGCTGCAGGGCTAGGTGGCCACCATAGCCTCGTAGACATACACCAGATACTATTAAAAAAATAAGAAAATAATTATAATGATATTAAATCTATCTATTTAATATTTAATATATATAATATATAATTAAATTCCTTAATAAATCTAGTTTATTAAGTAAAAAGATAAAAAATTATTATAAATTATTTAAAAAGATATAAAGAAAACTATATTTTAAACTAAAAAAAATACTTTTAATTTTTTTTAAATTTGATTATTAAGCTACAGGTGTATCTAGTATTAATACTATTTTAAATAGAAGTAACTAGTAATTCATTATTTCTAATAAGTCCTTTACTTAAGACTAAGGATTAGTTAATAGAATTAT